TAGACGAAGTTGGCCCCAAGATGGCTCCAACGCAGCCGTAAGACAGCGAACCTGGCGCCTAACTTTGGATGTTCGTGCGCGGTGTGGGCGGCTGTCGACGTGAATAGCCAGTGTACTACAAGCTGCACCAAGTCACCTTCGAGCCCGTTTGCTATTGTGGATCGCGGATTCCACCAAGAATGAGGGCTTGAAGGGCAAGATCATGGAGTTAACAACTCGTTGGGACAGCTCAACTTCGCTGACCTTGCCGACGGGAGCTGGCATGGAAAAGAGAAAGGGAAGAAAGGGGGCAAGAGCAAGTCGAAAGATCAGAAGGGAAAAGCAAAAGGAAAGAAAGAGACGAAGTTAGAGGAAAAGGGCCCTTGGAAGGGCTCAGAGAAGGGTGAGAGTGTGCGCCAGAGGACAGCTTCAGAGCCATTCTGATGAGGCATGGCGGACAGGCGCAAAGGTATCGACAGCCTACATTGGAAGCAGAAGCAACGGAGGAGGAGCTCAAGGCAATCTCAGAAGCCATTTCCGCTGGAGTGGTGACGCCAGCCAGCGCCAGGTCTTCATGGACAACCAAAGACACCTGCAGTGACCTGCACCGATTCCAACAACGCCGAGATCAAAGAGGCCGGCAAGGTGATGGAGGAGCCAGAAGAGAAGAGACAAGACTCATAAGAAAAGGGAGCCTCAGGAGGCAGAAGATTCAGGAAGATGAAGGAACAGAAGAGAAGGCTATGCCATCGAGTGCATCAAGACCGCGAGAAGAAGGGCCAGAACTGTTGCCTTCAGCGTCACCGACAAAGATTGCTAGGCGGTATCCACCGCATTGTGCAGGTATACAAGCAATTGAGGTACATGGAGATGAGGAATTCGATTGGTCCATGGTGCCGGAGGAGGTGAGCGAAGAGCTGCAGTTGAATGAAGGAGAAGATGAAGAATCACCCATCACGACAGAAGAGCATCTGAAAGTGCTTGACCAAGAGGTGGAGGATATGTGATCTCTACAAAGTTCGTATACTGCTGGAAGCGCAGGGTGGAACAAGGAGGATGTTCAGAAGAGCACGCCTGGTTGCAAGGCAATTCAAATCCAGTGTGGACATGGAGCAAACCTTTGCACCAACATCAATGATGGTGATTCCAAAGACGCTCATCAACCTCATGCTGAACGTGTTCAAGCATTTCGTGGCAATGACACTGGACATCAAGGATGCATTCCTGATGGCTGCGCAGCCTGAGGAAGAGAAGGCCTACGTGCATGTTGATGGAAAGATCTACAAGCTCAACGAACAGCTGCCGCACAGTGGTTTCAACTGTTCACGGGAGCGGGGCATGGGGCAGGACATCATTGCTGATGATACACAGAGTGATTTACATCACAGTCCATGTGGATGATGTCTTCATGGTGGGAGACGAGACAGCGCTGAAGGAGTTTGTCGACTACCTGAAGACAAAGAAGAAATGGAGCATTGAGGGGACCATTCCTGATGGGAGAAAGGTTCTCATATCGGAAAAGGGACTTCACTCTCTACCGAAGCTGGTGTGACACCCGCTGCGACTACAGGCAGTATGAGAGCCTTGGAAAAGAACTGGACCTGTTCAAGAAAGCCTACAGGAAGACGCCCATGGACCAGAGCTTCAGCAAGAAAGATGAAAGTGAAGATGATGCACCTACAAGGCACTGAGGGCTATGGAGTGAGATTGTCAGCAAGGGCCAAAGGACAATCAGTCATGAATGTGCTGGACATCGAAGATAAGGAGCGGCGTCTTCTAGAAGTGGCGACAGATGCAGATTATGCCGGAGACAGGGATGAAGCACGACTTCGTTCCAGGTGTTCATCGACGGCAACGTCATGGAATCAACAAAATCAACAGCCAGGGCACAGAAAGCAATATCCCTCTCATCGGGGGAATCAGAGTTTGTTGCCGTGGATGCAGGATCCTCAGATGAACTGCTCATCAAGCACGTGTGGGAGAAGATGACAGAGGAGACATGTGAGATAAGGCGCGCTCAGACAGTTCAGCTGCACCGTCAATGGTGCAAAGACAGGGCATTGGTCGAGTTCGCCACTTGGACGCATCGTTGTTCTGGGTGCAACACATAAGGAGAAGGACAAGACTTTGGCTGTGGGACCAATCCCCACTGGGCTCAACTGTGCGCATCTAGGCACAAAGAGCTTGACGAGGAAGCGCGTGCTGGGACCCCTCTACATGTTGAAGATGGTGCGACAACAGTCGGTGAGGAGGAACGCAAAGAGCTCGAACACAGGGAGCAAATGAAGAAAGGTCTGAAGAAGGTGGTGAGAAGCAAAGACCTGCATGCGGGATTGTTGCTATTGATGACCAGTATGGATCAAGCCGCAGGTGGAGGAGGAACAAGGATGGCAATGGATGGCCTTTTGGCTATGCGCCATTTGTGGAGCCTGAGCCTAGCAGAGTGGTTGCGGCGACACATGATCATGAAGGTGATCTACCTGGCTGGGGACTACATCAATCCCGTCCTCGAGACACCGGTTCTGAAGTCTCAGAACTACATGTTGGCTGGTGAGGACAAGCTTGGCAAGTCAACGGAAGCTTCCCTGAGGCACTATGAAGAGGAAAGTGTCGAGACGCAGGACAAGATTTTCCAGCTTGAGACATACATCGCAGAGCTGGAACAGTGGATCCAGGAAGTGAAGGATCAAAGGAACATGGCTTTCGTAGCATCAAGACACAGCCTGAAGATGATGAGGTAAAGGATCAATTACAGGGTCTGCAAGAGTGGTAGTAAGATCCACTACGCAGAGTACTGCCCACATTTTGCTGGTGCAGATGCATTTGAGCTTTGTGTAAAGTGCATGGGTGATGGGTGATGGGTGATGGGGGCGTGACAGAATCCATGAACATGCCAGTCACCCATGCTTAGCACGCGCAAATCAAAAAGTGTACCGGCAACATCAAGGCTCGAACTCGTGTGAAAAGGCACGTGTTTTGCTTCGCAAATAAAATAAGAGTTGTGAGGGACTGCAAAACCTGAGCCCAAACCGCGTTAACCTTTCCTGTAGCATCTTCATGCTCCAGAAAAGGACGAGTCAAATGCCCGATGACGGCCGTGCCGCCATGCATTGTGATGTGATGTCCGTTTGATCGGATGATTGGCGGGAGGCTTGTACTTGTTTCCACGCAGTTCCAAAATTGTTCCCACACAATGTTTGTCAGCTTGAGATTGCCAAGATTTTTAACATCGAAAGTGGAAATGGACTGCCCAAGGGATCGTCAAGAATCAACACAATGTTTCGAATAAAGCGAAGGACCTTCTTGTTCAACCGGCCCCTCACCCGGAAAACCTAGAGTGGCATTGAAGAAATGAATGGGGCCACGAAAGGATTAATCAACCTAATTAAACATGAGTGCCACAATGCACTTGCTAGAGAAATTCCGTGGTAAAAGAAGGGGATGTCCTGACTGGCTGCGACAGCACAGCGCAGCTCTTTTTGATCTCAACATCTTGGTGCATATGTTGTCAAATTTGGTGGATGAATGCAAAAACTGCTGCACTTTTGCGTCCCAAGCGGTGGCTTCTGCAAAGCGGCAACAAGAAGAGGCAGAAGGACAAGGACAAAGACCTGACAAGCCTGCTGGCACCGAAGACGATGAAGGGCAAGGGACATTGAACCATTGGACCATGCAAATCCATGGCATTGTTGTATCTTGTTGTTGTTGTTGGGCGGCGGGTGGGCGGGTCAGCGCAACAAAAAACCACCACACATCAATGTCAAGAACGAAGCCGTGATAAGATTTTGTGGCATCATGCTGATCGTGGGCAGAGATGAGTTAACGCAACAGTTTTATGTCTATGTATTCTTATTACTCATTTCATTTTCCATTTGGGATCTGCTTTTTACAAGGTTTGTGGATGGTGTTTGTTGTTTTTTCCATCCCGGCCTTTGTTAGCTGCCACAGTGTGGTGGCTGTTTTTTGCAGTCATTGACAGGGACTTTGAACTTGCGTGGGTGTTGTGTGCAGCATTGGGATCAAAGCTTGATTTAGACGTCAGTGGTGCGTTCAAACTGAACAAAATGTAGTGACCAGAACCACAATATAAACACATGTCGAATGATTTCAGAGCGCCGGAGCAACTTAAAGTGTTCGAAACAACCCTTCGTGACATGAGCCGGGCTGCCAACCCAAACAAACCAAAGAAAACACAGATCGAAATTGAGGCAGGAAATGCCGTGTTTTCCTTATCTTATGGGAGAAGGTCTGAGCGTTCACACGTGCAAGGCTGATGTGGCTGCCAAGAAGCAAGAGGCGCAGTTTGATTTTGCTTGTGTTGTGGTATGGTTGAGTTGAGGCATGTCGTAAGTCATTCCCACCCTTGTTCAGGCAGACCGGGAAAGAATCAAGCGATGCATAATCACATTGGGAGATGAAAACAAAAAGGCCGAGATTATTTTTGGCAAATATTTAAGTCAATGATTTGGCAATGTGCAGGTTGGGTTTGCCGAGTTTTGTGGGGGCACGGCTTCACATAGTAACTAGTATCCAAACATAGAAGCCAGCAGGTTGTTTCTCAGATTCGTGGAGCAGTGCAATTACTTCAGGCAAGTTCTTGTGTGAATGTTTGAAACGGATGCGCTGTGCACTGTTCGGCAACGATGGAGGATGATGTAGAACTTCATGGTGAGCTCATGTCAACAGTTCTAATCGATTGTGCAAAATGCAGGGGCCTGAGATAAGATGATTATAATATAGGGTGTTCACACACCAGGCAAAATATGTTGTGAACCTGTTCATGTCTTCAGGTTTGCCTATCAAGTGGGAGACCCAACGCGCTCAGCAACAGTAAACATCTTGCCACCAATTTTGTCCATTTTACCATTGGACGGCTTGCCAAGATTGGGCATTTATGCCGCCTGGTGTGCCAAGATGGCGGCTGTCTCAATGCGTTATTGCTATGAGCATGGGTACTGGCAAGCGGGCAAGTGCAAGGCTGAAAAACACCCAAAGTGGGCGGCCAACATGGTCAGCTGCGCCATGGAGGAATTGAGAGCAACACCCTTATGGTTGAGTCACGCCATGACGCCATTTTTCAAGTGAGTGTTTGAACCTCTGAGGCGCGGGTGCAGGATGGCAGTGTGGCCAGCACGCATTGGGCCTAGCTGGGTGCAGCACTGTGAGTCAAAGGCTCCAGGCTGGGCTTTGGACATTAGACATGTGCAGTTTTGGATTTCGCATTCATGAGTCATGAGTTTGAAAGGAGGGCCAGTCATGTAAACATCACTTTTTTCGAAATCTGGCGGACATTCCACCAAGGCTTTGCGTGAGAATGTGGAAGCAACAAACACGTACTTCAGGAACACAGTTTGTTGCATTTGACTCTGCGCTGCGGGTGCTTTGCCTGTCTGCAGCCGCCAACTTGAAGGAAGGTGTGTGCGTGTGGACAACACGCCACGCTGCCAACGTATGCCTGCGTGCGGTATTAGCCCTAAAGCCTTACCAGGCTTTCCCTCTGGCTTGCAGCGCAAAAGAACTATGCTAAGTCTTTGGTGTGCCCGAAGCTAACGGATAGGAAGGCCTCGAGAAACTTTTGTGAGAAGTGGTGCTTGTCTTTCGAACATGCTAGATTGCTCGCACTGGCCATGTGCATCTAACTTTAAGAAACCCATCCGTATATTGCAAGTTAAAGTATACTGAGCTAGTTTTGAGTGTTGAGGATCTTCTGGAGTGTTCTGCTTGTTTTTGAGGCAGCTCCTGCTTCGATTCATTGTTTTCCTGGCCAACACCGGCGTCCTAGGTCACGTGCGCTTCAGTTGATGATAGACACACGCATGGCTGTTTATTGCGCAGGCGTGGTCGCAGTCTTGGATTTGCTGCTGCAGGCTTGATCTATATTGAGTTTAAAACACACATGGCGCGTTGTCCATGTGTGAATGCTGCAATGCGCTCGGATGGGTTGGTGAGAGCGTCGGTAGTTTGCGTGGGATTTTGATGGGTTTTGTCACCTTCTAGATGGCAGTGCTATTTGGTGTGACTCAATGGGCAGGAGTAACCAAACTTGCATCCCAAGAAAACTACCATATCGAAGACAAGGGAGGCCGAGAGTGGACCAGCTAACTGAAACGGTGAAAGACACTTTCCATTGTCTCGGGCACAGCCCGCCCCAACAACCAACCCTCCAACACATACGAATGCTCCAAAATGCCGCCAGGAACCGAGCATATCCATTTTGAGAAAAACAAGAATCAATCATTCTCTGAAAAGAAGGGCGCTGCCCCATCAGCCTACGGGCTCACACAGTAATTACACTGCAAAGGACAAATGCCTTTCCCCGAGCTTCGTGTCACCTCCTGCTATGTCAATTTTTGAGCCCGAACAAGGGAACCCTTGAACTCCTTGCTTGGCGCTAGGAAAAAATAGTGGGCCGGATGATTGTGAATGGAGTGGCGGCCCTGTGTGCGGGTGTGTTTGTGTGTGAGTGTGTAACGTATGTCAATGTGTAGCAGACCATTTTGGAAAGCGCCTGTAAAAAGACTTTGCACGTGCCGACCACCCCACTTTCCAACCAGTACCACGGCTACTTTGTGGAACATGGGTGGTTGGGCGATCGATTTGTTACGTCGACATTTTAATGATGTATTTTAAATTAATCATTACATTATCGAGGTCAACAATTCACCTAGTATTGCATTGGTTCTGAAATCCAACCAAGTTGGTGACGTGTGAGGGCCGAACCAAAAATCTGAGCTGAACCGACCGTGATGTTGCGGACAGTCACAGAGACTACGGCTACGGCCAGTGTGGGGCAATACTTGTCGCTCCTCGATTTCGGGAACAGCTATATATGGATTAATGTCCTCATAATTAAGCACAGAGTCAGTCCTTTTTCACCGTAGCATCGGGCTCAAAAAGGGAAAGGTGAGTTGGATGGGAGGGGGCCGGCCTGGCCCCCTCCCAATTTGTGAACGGTGCCAGCACTTCGTCGTGCGTGACAAAGGACTTAGTGTTTGTGCACCGTGTCGCAAGTCCTACCAGCTCCAGGTTTCAGTGAAGGGTGTTGTGTCCTCAGAGAAAGACGAATCGGCCGTTGTTTTCTACCAGGGCTGCTTCGCTCTTTTGGAGGACTGGCTGAGGACAATCAAGGACTTGGAGACCAAGGACACCCCAACGGGATCTGGAAGCTCGGCATCGCGACACAGAAGCCCGAGCAAAGGAGAAGTCTCACGTAAGCCCCAACCAAGAGATAACAAGGAGGACACAGCTGAGGAGAAGAAGATTGACCGGAAAGTAAGTTCAGCCCCTGCGAAAGCCCCACCTGTTCAGCCGAGTTCGCATTCACGGCCTGCATTGTCTGTTGAAGGGAGGAGTGCACAGAGAGCCACCTCCCAGACTCGTGCAGTTCCACGACCAAGTCAACCACCTCGAGAGGCTCTTCGTGATCGGTCGCCGGATCTTGGACTCTTTGCAAAGAAGAAGGCTGAGCCCAAGAAGGCCGTTGTGGAGGAAGAGAGAAGCCCCAGAGGGGAGTTGCAGAGAACTCCCAAGTGTAAGGAAGAGCAAGAGGAAGAGGAGAAAAGCCCTAGAGGGGAGTTGAAGAGGACTCCCAAGCCTGCCGAAAAGAAGAAGAACGGCAGTCCAGCTTCGTTGTCTGGGCCTGGTGGAACTGGCCTATGGGTATTACTATGATGGTGTGGTCAAAGTGGCCGGCTACATTACAGGTTTGGGGCGTGACACTGACTATTTGGAGTTCAGGGTGACGGGACCCAAACTGAAAGGCTGGTCGAAGTGCTGAGCGAACCATCTTGGAGGGTGATGCAGCTACACATCTGTCCCAAAGATTGTCCCCACTCTACAACTGGACCCGACATCCTACATGCCTCGAGTTTCTGGGAAGTGGGGGACAAGAGGCAGCCGTGGCATACGCTCTTCGAGAAGACAGAGGTTGTGGCAGAGGAGAAGGATGAGATGGCAAAGCTGAGGGAGCACTATGCGGCTAGGAGCGGCTTGGTGGCTGGGGAGAAGAGGTCTCCCAGTGTGGAGGTTGAAAAAGAAAAGAAAAAGAAAAAGAAGAAACGGAAAGATAAAGAAAAGGAAAAGAGGCCTGAGAGGACGAGGTCAGATAAAGAAGGAACAGAGGATGAGACAGGGCAGGAGAGAGGGCAGAAGAAATTGAGGAGCCTGTTCAGTGGGACCTGCCTGGACCCACGTATGGAGGAGCGGGCCAAGTGGCTCAGAAGGGCACGAAAAATGGGAAAGAAAGAAGGAAAGAAACGCAAACACTCCTCGAGTGAGGGGACTTCGACGGAGAGCTCAACTTCCGAGGAGGATGAACAAGTTGAGACAGGAGAAGGATTGTTTGCCGAGAAGAAGTAGCGGTACCCTCCACTCCTTGGACCGCAAGTCATTGCCTCCCCTCTACACGCAGTACTATCGCAGTGAGCTCCACTCCCAGGTTTCTCCTTCAATGGGGCAAGAACTGCTAACCATCAGTCAGACGGCTGATTTGCTACTTCGGGGACATCCGGCACGCGCCGTTGACCTTCTCTCCCAGCGGTTCAAGGCCCTCGAACAACAGGCACGAGGTGCGCACTGGACGGTTGCGCGCCAGCTGGAACTGGTGTCAGCAGATTCGGTTGGGTTATCCCAAGGAGCCGAAGGAGCTGAAGCCGCCCGGTTGGCAAGAGAAGAAGCCCGAAATCGAAGCGCAGTGCAAAGGCCTTACAACATGGGAGGCAAAGATGGGAGCAAGTCAAAAGGCAGACCTGATCCACCTGAGGGGCGTGAAAAAGGAGATCGAGGAGGCAAGGGAAAAGGGAAAGGAAAGAAGAAAGAAAAACAAATGATGAGTAAAACAGAGGATTCAGAAAGCCCCAGGTGGAAAAAAGGTCAAGAGGAGGCTTGGAGGCTGAGAGTGCAATGGTTGAACAGGGTGCTATAGCAGAGGTTGAGGATTTGTGCATTGAGCGGCTGTTGAAAGAGAGTGAGAAGAGAGGTTTAGAGCAGAGGACAGGTTGGGCGAAGAGACGGTGTGGTGGAGGCAGCAACGATTGCACGTCGCGATCACTGCTGCGAAAAGAGGAGCTCCCTTCGTTTGGTTCAGGCGTAGAGGCCGAGAGGGCCCAGCTGGAGTTGAATGGAGGGGAGCCGATTTTCTCCAGGCCACTTGAGGCTGGCTCCCAGTGCAAAGAACGAGTTGAACCGCATTGGAGGTCTTCTATGCCGCAAGATGGTAAGCATGTGGAACGGGAGATGGACACAAGTCGTGCCTCCCAGTGTGACAGAGGTGAGTCGGAGCAGCAGCTTGTTGACGCCGCCCGTTGCGAGATCACCTATGACACCGTGGACAACAGAGGGCCCGGCTGGCGACTGGCCTTTGAGCCGTGCCGCGCAGTACTTGAGGCATGTTGTCGAAAAAAGGAGATTAGCTTCGTTGAGTTGGGTTCAGTGTTGTCTCAAGCATTGGCGGTGGTTGAAACCAGATTAGAGCGTTGCAGCCAGCCCAAGGGGGATTTATTCCCCTTGCCGCTCGCTAGTGACTTGGGGCTACACGGTCAAAGAATCCCAAACTCGGACGCATTGATTCGTGCATTGAATTTGTTGTATGGAACCAAAACCAAGACACGTGCAAAAGAAGAAGGTATTCGAAGATCATTGACTGAAAGGTTAAATCAGGTGGTGTTGAAGTCGAATCTGTTGGAAGAGAATTTGCCCCAGCTGGACTTTCATAGACTTTTCCAATCCAAAATGGTGGATTATTCGGGTGAGGAGGTTCAGGTGGCCCGGTCTTTCCAGTGGAAGATGATTGAAGCAGCAATGCCGGAGGCGGTAGGTTCACTAGAGTTGGAATCCTCCTGCGATGGGGGGACTCTCAACTACGTCCGGGAATCATGGTGGAGCAGCGCCACTGGGCGGAGGTCTGCTCGGGGCTGTTGAGCCGGGGGGTTTGCCGGGTGATGCATGTATCGGAACTACACCATGTGAACGGACGCCCCCTGTTGAATGGACTTTTTGCCGTAAGCAAGCAGGAGACTGCGGTGGGTGCTGATGGCCAATCGTTCGAGGTTTGTCGACTCATCATGAACCTAGTGCCCACCAATAGTTGTTGTAGAAGCTTGGTTGGCGATACTTCAACTTTACCCAGTGTTGTGGGCATGTCCGCGGTGGTTTTGGAGGATAGCCAACTTCTAATAACCTCATCTGAAGATATTCATTGCTTCTTTTACCTGTTCCGGACTCCAGCTTCCTGGTGGAAGTACATGGGGTTTGCAAGGGAGGTGCCCCACAAACCCCCCCCAGCGGCTTGCAGTGGGACAGGATGGCACATGGGGTTTATCAATTCGGTGGCTATTGCTCAGCATGTGCGCCGGAGGGTCGTCAGGTTGGCTGATCATTTGTACAGGGTGTATTTGGACAACTATGATGAGTTGCGCAAAGTTGACCGCAGGCTGGCAGGGTTGGGCTGGCGAACCCTCAGCATGGACTTTGGCTGTGAGGCAAACCTATGAAGACTTGGGGCTGCCCAGGCATCCCAAGAAGGCGGTCACTCAGGAGGTCAAGGCAGAGGTGCAGGGAGCTTGGCTTGATAGGGAGGCAGGTACCGCATCACCAAAAGGTTCAAAGGTAGTCAAGTATGTGAGGCTTGCGTGTGAACTGTTGATTCGAGGATGTGCGTCACAGAAGGAGTTGCAGATTGTGAGAGGAGGCTTTGTGTACGTTGCGATGTTGCGACGGCCTCTTCTAGCCGGGTTGAATACCTTGTGGAGGCGCATCATAGAATTAGGGGACTCAGGTAAGAAACGTGAGGCGTTGGGCGAGCATGTTGAGTTGGAACTGCTAAGGTTCATTGCGCTGACCCCTCTGGCCTTCATGGACTTCCGCACCATGATCTCTGAGCGTGCCACGGCTAGCGACGCGTCGACCAGTGGAGGCGGCTTGTGCGTGAGCAAGGAGTTGTCACCCTACGGTGCAGCAGCGGCCCGGGCGCAGACTAGGGGAGACGTTCTCTCCCAAGATGACATTGAGCCTATCTTGGTGGTGTCGTTGTTTGACGGCGTTGGCGCCCTACGCGTGGCGGTTGATGCTCTCCGTGTCCCAGTTGCTGGTTACGTGTCGGCTGAGATCTCGGAGGACGCTCGAAGAGTAGTTGAGAGTTGGTTCCCGGAGGTCAGGCGCATCACGGACGTCAAGGACATCGATGTGAACGAGGTGAGCAATTGGAGTCTGTTGTATCCCGGGGTGAGCGCCGTCATCCTGGGAGCGGGACCGCCATGCCAATGCGTCTCAGGATTGAACAGTGATAGGAAGGGGGCGCTGCGTGACGCTAGGTCGTATCTGTTTTCACATGTCCCGCGTGTGGAGCTGTTGTTGCGTCGTTTCTTCAAATGGTGCCCGGTGTTCCGGCTTGCTGAAAACGTGGCCTCGATGGATGTCAAGGACTGCGAGGTTATGAATGAGGCATATGAAGGACGCCCATGGCTAGTCGACGCAGGTGGCATTAGTTTAGCCCGTAGGCCCAGGCTCTACTGGTTTAACTGGGAGCCGCTAGAATGCAAAGGTGCCCTCAAAGTGGACAGTGAGCGTCAGCGCTTACCCTTACCTGGCAGGCTACAATTGCAGGCAGACGTGGAGGAGAAGGACTTCCTGGAACCAGGGTGGCGCCGGGTAGAACCTACACAGGTTTTGCCAACCTTTACCACCTCTCGACCATCTGCGAAGACGCAAGCCCGCAGGCTTAGAGTTGTGCACTGCCGAGGACTTGTTGCGTTGGAAGGAGGATGATCATCGTTTCCCGCCTTACCAATACAAAGCAGTGAACTGTGTCACAAACGGACTCGTGAAGCGTGTTCCCAATGTCAGGGAGCGGGAGTGTATCCTTGGATTCCCCTTGGACTATACAGCAAAGTGCTATCCCAAAGGCCAACAAAACAAAACGTCATGGAATGACTGTCGCCTGACGCTTTTGGGTAACACATGGTCTGTTCCGGTGGTTCGTTACCTTCTCCACTCCCTCTTCTACACGTTGGGGCTTGTCGAACCATTGAGTGTGCAGGAGCTGTTGAAGCGGTTGACTCCAGGGGAGGAAGATCACCTCCCAAGTCTTCTGTTGCGCCCTCCGATGCGCCGGACAACACAAGCCGGAGTTCCAGGACAAGGACTTGTGCGTAAGCTCTTGGGCCAAATTTCCGTCAAGGGCGAAGACTTGTTGCTTCAGATGGGGACAGATATTCCAGCTCGCTACCACCGTTTGCGAGCGTCTATTCCAGGCAAACTGTGGCGCTGGCGTGAGGTTGCAGGCTGGCGCTGGACAGGCGAAGCTGAACACATCAATGTCCTCGAATTGCGTGCTGTCAAGACTTTGTTGGCATGGCGTATCCGGGAGTTGAAGGAGCAACGGTCTCGTTTCCTGCACCTCGTTGATTCATTGGTTGTACTACATGCACTCTCACGGGGGAGATCCAGTTCACGCAAGCTTAGGAGAACCCTTGCCAAGATATCCGCAATGCTGTTGGCTAGTGGCCTTCAAGGTACCTGGGGGTACATTGACACACACCAGAACCCGGCGGACGAGCCGTCTCGCCGGCCCCTACATCGCAAATGGGTAAGAAAGCACCAAAAGTAGTGGAAGGTCGCAGCCAGCAGCAGCGAAAGGCGGTAAGACAAAAGCTTGGCAAGTTAAAGGGTTTAACAGTACAACCACGTACCCGACAGAGGTATGAGGCTAGTTTGCAGCAGTTCTTCTCCTGGTTGGAACGGGAGGGCCTTTCCCTCCCAAAACGAGTCGCACAGATGGACAACTTGGTCAGTGACTACCTTGAATACTTATGGGCTGAGGGACATGGCAAATCTGAGGCAAACAATGCTCTTGCAGCACTTCAAGACTTTGACCCGAATTTGCGTCGAAAGCTTCCGGGAAGCTGGCGATTACTGAAGGCCTGGTCGACAGCGGAGATCCCAAACCGGGCTCCGCCGATGACGATAGGATTGCTCGATGCCCTTTGCGGTTGGGCCGTGATGCAAGGACTTCCAGACTTTGCCTTGTCTCTGAGGGTTGCATTTTTTGGACTCCTGCGGACAGGCGAACTTTTAAGCTTGACCTCGAAAGATGTGTACATTGCGGGGCCCAAGGGGCCAGCGGTCATTTCGCTTGGACTCACCGGGTCAGGGGGCCAGTGAGAGCGTCACTATAGTGGACACCTCAGTACTACCGTCGTTGTACAGTTGGAAGCGCCGAAGCTCGGCCAACTCATACTTAACCTCCAAACCCCATGCTTGGCGCAAGACTTTTAAGCAAGCCATTGCTGGACTTCAGCTCACCGCGCTTGGCCTGCGCCCGTACTCGTTACGGCGTGGGGGGGCCACGTTTTTCTCCCAACACCACGGAAGTTTCGATAAATTGCTGCTCCAAGGGAGGTGGGCAGCAGCAAAAACCGCCCGAATATACCTGAACGAGGGTTTAGCACAGTTGTCAGAGATGCAGGTTCCTAATTCGCGTCTGCGGACCTATGCAAGTTTTTACCTTCAGAACCCGATCCTTGAGCCTGGGCCCCGGAAGGCGCCCAGGTCGGGGGGGCGTGGAAGAGCCAATAAAAGCGTCTTTTTTCTGCGTGAGAGGCAAAAGAGGCTTCCTGATGGGGAGATCTAACAGGAAGTTTGTTCCTCTAGAGTGTTCGGGCCCAGGGGGCTCCGGTATGGCGGAAGCAGTCCTGGGGGGCACTGGGGGGCACTCACCTTTCTCTGGTCTGGCGGAAAAGGCTGAGTGTCGGGGCCCCGAAGAGGAGAATTTGTGGTTCCAAGCACCATTGGTGCTCTGTTCTTGGACAAACCTGCTGCAACGCGTGAAAAAATGACCGGCGGCTGTGCTTGGATTAATACCTCGTAATTAAGCACAGAGTCAGTCCTTTTTCACCGTAGCATCGGGCTCAAAAAGGCACCCCCACCGCACCCGTTGTTGGTGTGAAGGTTGTCCAATAAAAGCGTCATTTTTCTGCATGAGAGGGGTTGAGGGAAAGAACACCAAAAGAGGCTTCCTGATGGGGAGATCTAACAGGAAGTTTGTTCCTCTAGAGTGTTCGGGCCCAGGGGGCTCCGGTATGGCGGAAGGTATGGCGGAAGCAGTCCTGGGGGGCACTGGGGGGCACTCACCTTTCTCTGGTCTGGCGGGAAAGGCTGAGTGTCGGGGCCAGCACCGTTGGTGCTCTGTTCTTGGACAAACCTGCTGCAACGCGTGAAAAAATGACCGGCGGCTGTGCTTGGATTAATGTCCTCATAATTAAGCACAGAGTCAGTCCTTTTTCACCGTAGCATCGGGCTCAAAAAGGCACCCCCACCGCACCCGTTGTTGGTGTGAAGGTTGTCCAATAAAAGCGTCTTTTTTCTGCATGAGAGGGGTTGAGGGAAAGATGGGGGGATCTAGCAGGAAGTTTGTTCCTCTAGAGTGTTCGGGCCCAGGGGGCTCCGGTATGGCGGAAGCAGTCCTGGCGGGCACTGGGGGGCACTCACCTTTCTCTGGTCTGGCAGGAAAGGCTGAGTGTCGGGGCCGCGAAGAGGAGAATTTGTGGTTCCAAGCACCGTTGGTGCTCTGTTCTTGGACAAACCTGCTGCAACGCGTGAAAAAATGACCGGCGTGTGCTTATATACACTTGCCTGGAACAAGTAGTGTAGCCAAGGGAAAACAACTTGCTGGTACTGGAGGCCATAACAAAACCTGCACATCAAGATCAAAAGACCAAACTGATCATTGGGGCCATGTATACTACTAATGCTACTGCTACTCGACAAGATGCTTGTCCGACGAGATGCAATCGCAAAAAAGGAGGAAACTAAATCAAGCTAAAACACATCTCTGCGCTTTCACTCTGTGGCGTGATGTTTTGGCTTGTTCCATGGGCAGCTAATTGCATATTTTGACCCCCCATTGCTGTTGTGAGACTGATCTGGCAGGTGATTTCAGTTTGTCAGAGCATGCAGTTGAGTAGAAGAGGCCTTGCAATCAGGCCCATTGTGCCGGAAGTTTGTTGCAGAATTGAGAAGGTGACTTTCCGGTGTTCATGGCTTTGGACCCGCACTTGGTCCTGTACGCTGCCCAAGCCCAAACGAGTAGAATTTGCAAACTCTTTCTGAGGCATCTTTGCCATTTCTTAGCCCGGAGGCATACCGACAGGATCGGGAACTTTCATGCTGGTGCGAATGCAAGAGGGTTCTGGGAGGTGGCAAATTCAAAGTAGCTGGCCTGTGCGATGCCAGGGGCGGGAAAAGGTTGATTCGCTGATTGCAGCTGCGTGCAAGCATGCTGCAAACCGAGTGGTGGCCCAAGCGCAGAATTTTATATAGTCCAGTTTGCTCGCTGTTGCGGATGCTTTGCATTCTTTTGGACTGAAGTGCATTGTGTAAATGACCTCTGAAGATACGCATGCTAGCTAGCCTGCATGTCGCTCAGTTTTTCCAAACTAAAATTCCAACTCAACAGTGTGACCCAAAGGATGGCAAACGCTCCCAAAAGGGCCTTGATGTATATGCCCCTGGATTCAGATAGAATGAAACCTTGTCACAGAGTCATGCAGGTGAAGCTATTGGTTATAATTGTTACTAGACAGGCGCAGTCTTCGAACCCGCACAGCACCTGCCAATTCTTTAAGCTCGTCCCATGTCTGGAGTTGGTTTGCAGGGTGTTGAGGTTACTGCACGTTGCAGCAGGAGCCTCTTCAGGATTCCAAATTGAAAGGCTTAGCTTTTTTGCAATCGATCGGTGTATCAGTGATGTTTGGAATATTTGTTCTGTTCGACTCTTGGATGTTTTTCACATCACCACCCTGTCTGTTTGAGGAAGCTGCCTGGAAGTCAACGCTCCGCATCTTTAAGAGCAAGGATAGCTTTGACAGGTTGGAGGACACTGGAAAGAACAAGCGTTGCGCATTTCTAAGCTTTCTATTGGCAATGCTCGGCTTGAGAGGAACTTCTTCGAAGTGTGAAGCAACTTTCAAAGCAGGGCTGGTCTTTACAGGCGAGACATGGATGACAAGGGCCCAGGGCCTTGATTGAGGCAGATGGAGTTGGCTTGATACCAGCTTCTTACACATCGGCTGAGCTTATCATGACCAAAGTGGACCGCTACTCTTGCACTTCAACCTCACAACACCGGCAGCCCTTCGATTTTCTCCAACTGCCAAGCTGGGGGTCGTCAGCCATAGTAAAGACTTTGGAGCAGTTCGGAGCAGCAGAGCAAAGTTCCCGAGCAGGTTCCGGTGCAAGATCCGTCTTGAAAAAACACCACGTGGTGCTTCAAAGGGTGTTCCTTCAACACCAGCTTATGTACCTCAAACACCTGCAGGTTTTTAATTCACAGCGCTTCGCGCTCGAAGCCGCGCGGAGTGTGTGCGTTTGTCTCGGTCGGTCTGTTTAGGTCTGTCAGTCTGTGTTTCAGTCGGACGAATGCGCCAAGGAGGTCAATAATGCAGTTTCCCCGGAGTGCACAGGCATCCGCGATGTCGATAATGCATCGTCACCTGGCCTGCATATCCGGCATAACGTTTTTTGTCAAAAACAATGTCAAACGTTATCAATCTTCAAAAACACTGCAACGCACAGCATTTCGTAATTCAAAGTAGGCCTCCCTCGGCTAAAGCTTAGGATTTCTTCTAGCAGCCTAGCAGATTTCTTGCGGTTTGTACAAGCCTCCACAACGCCTCGGCACCTTCAGTGCAGGCGGGTTTGAATCACAGTAAGGTTGCGCTGGGTGTTTGGTGGGAGATGTTTGGGTATCAGTGACCTTGGCTTGAGTTGAACCTTTTTTGCGCGCTATTAGGAATTCTTGTTTGTGGCTATCCCAGAAAGTGCAGAAACTGTGGGATGGAAGTGGGAAGAGGTAGAGAAAATACTGGGAAAGGAGTGGGGCAACATGGGGCACCAGCCTAGAATCGGGAAAGCCATGGGAAAATGTGGAAGAAGTGGGTGGACCATAAGCCATCCATGAGAGGACGCTGGGGAATGCAATGGTGACCGCAGGAGATTTTCCACCAGAGTCAAGAAGAGATGAACTGCTGCTGGGGAAAATCTGAGGTTTTGCCATAAATGCAGGATTTATTGGGGTGGTTGCTGTTTTGTGGGTTTTTTGAAGGATTTTTGAAGTACAATTTTTGGGAACAGAAATGGTGAAGCCATTCTGTGTGCAGCGGTATGTGATGTAGTCCTTTGAAAGCAGCTTCCTTTAAGTTGCAGAGCACTTGGCAAATATGATGAGGTGCCGCTATGGGCCGCTATGGGCGTAGTGCTGACATGTCATGATGGTGGCCTCCTACCATGCGTTTTTTTGGCCAACCTGCTTACATGTTGTATATGTTGTACCTCTGGGGCACCAAGATGTTGCGACGATGAATGGTGTCATGATGCTTTGTTGCGTATAGCCGTCACGCAGACGCGCGCTAGCGTGCTAACAGCTGCATTGTCATGCTGACGCGCGGAAATCGGATTGAGGTGTCGTGCTAGCTGCTAATGTATTGTGGGAGTCCAACGCCGCTTCAGGGAACCCTTGAACCTCGGAACTCTGAGCACTGTCAGGCGCAAACAAAGGGCGGATTTTTTCAGTTATTTAAAGGCTTACGCCTAACAGCCGGGCGCCGGCGCACTAGGGTCTGTGTAGGGCTGGGTCGGCACGTGCACTATCGGGGGTGTACAGGGCCCTGGGTGGGGGCAAGGTGGGAAACTGCTCGGCGTTGGAGACGGGGGCCGGGTCTGGGGCACAAGTTAAGCTATCTGGTGCGCATCTTGGCCCTAGGTTGGGCCCATGTGGTCTATGTTGGGCACATCTTGGGCCCATGTTGAGCCTATGTTGAGCCTGTGTTAGGCCTATGTTGGCCGAGGTTGGGCCTACGTTGGCCCCACGTTGGCCTATGTTGGCCCTATGTTGAGCCATCTTGGAGGTAAGTCGTCTGGAGGGCCTCTACCCACAAAATGTCGATTAAGCCTGTCCGCCCGGCCCGCATTACCGACACCACCCTTGAAAAACACAGCATTTTTGCATTTTCCCTTTTCCCCGCATCGTACTTCGATATGCGCAATAAACCCTGTAAAACACAGTGTTTTTTATACCTCACACACACGATGCACTGTAAATTACAGGGGCATCAGTGAACCGGTGGTCCGCCCGTTTTGTTGACGAGGGTCGGCGGCAGCCGGCGCGACCGTCTATAACCTTCGGTTACCACCGAAGGCCCTCCGGGCATGCCACGGGCGTCCTGGCCGGCGCCCGGATTTACCAGGCTACCGCCTGCAGCCGCCGACCCCCAAGGGATAGAACCTTAGCGCTAGCCTTGCTGTAGCCAGAGAGATTTAGCCGTAGCCTTTAGCTGTAGCTCGAAGCCAGACGGCCCCTAGCAAGATTGCGACGTGGATTGTTCAACATCTTGCTATCCCAATTGATTTACATCATGGGGTTTTGTTGTAGAAGGGAGTTGTAGGATGTCAAAGGAGGTTTTAGTTTCCCAGGTCTGCGTAGAAAATTGTGAACCTATTTTCTTCCATTGTTGTAATCATGCTTTTGTTAGGTTTTCGGCTGGATGCTTTTCCATTAATTTTCTAGCACTTCCTCTTGTATTTAGGTTCCCAGATTTGCCCAAAAATTGATTAACCTATTGTTAACCTATTTGATTCTAGTGTTCCCGGCCAATGCCCTGGAATTTTCCTAGGAATGCTCTAGGCTTTGTTTAGATTTTGCGCTGGGCGAGGTCCGGCCAGTGCCCGTGGTAACGTGAAAGGCTCTGGTAAGATTTTCGCATGCCTGTCAGGCGCCCGTGTCCGCGCCGTGTGGCGTGTTGGTTCTAGGACGGAGCAGCGCAAACGGAAGCTCGGGCAGGTGGTGGCGAGGTTCTCGCGCCAGCGAGGGAAGAGACCGTAGCCTTGTACATGCGGGCGGCGCGCGTGGATACTGCAGAATACTCACTGGGTGGCCTATACAATGGTTGGGGAAGAGATTTTTCTCTGTGATTCCTTGAAGCCGCGGCCTGAAAAAATATCTGCAGCCGCGCTGGCAGCTACGCTGCCGCACTGCCCGACGTACGCCATCCGTGCATAGCTGCTCCTGGAAGCCCCCCGGACGCGTGCCGCGCAGTGTCACGTCGTCTCGCGCGACGCAGTCGCCAAAGGGAACACCTGCAAGAAAAAAGGCCACGGAAGGGAGCTGCTGGGCCAGGCAGCTCGTGGCCGTGCGTGGGTGGACCGCGGGTTTTTTTCCCGGACTTTCTCTGTTTTTTCACGATAATCCTGTCGTTGTCTAAGGGCGCCGTGTTGTTGTTTTAGGTTCCCTGATTTTCGAAGAAAAGTGCGAACCCATTTGCCGTGCTCTGTTCTGCCTACTTTGGGGGCGCTTCCCTCGGGGTTTGGCGGCGCCTGAAGCATCCAGCCGAAAACGTAACAAAATCTAGACAAAGCCTAGAGCATTCCTAGGAAAATGTTGGAAAAGCCTTTGAAAATCCCATAGGTTAGCAAAAGGTTAACAATTTTTTGAAGAAATCTGGGAACCTAAAAACAAGAGGAAGCGCTAGAAAGTTCTTGGAAAAGCATCCAGCCGAAAACGTAACCAAATCTAGACAAATCCTAGAGCATTCCTACAAAATGCTGGAAAAGCCTTTGAAAATCCCATAAATCCAACAGAAAACGTGACAAAATCTACGAAAAAGCAAGGGCATTGGCCGGGACCACGCCGCGACCAGCCCGCGCGGGTGGAGAGGGTGCCCCAAGATGTAAATCAATTGGGATGGCAGAATCTTGGACAATCCAGGTCGCCATCACGTCGCAATCACGTCGCAATCGCGTCGCTGTCACGTCGCTTTTTGGTCGGGATTTCGTCACTGCAACAAAGTTCCGGAGGGGTAGGGGAGGTAAGGTCTAAGTCTAAGTCTAAGGCTAAGGCTAAGGCTAAGGCTGAGGCTGAGGCTTAAGTCTAAGGCTAAGGCTTAAGGCTAAGGGTAAGGCTAAGGCTTAAGGCTAAGGCTAACATCGACAGTCACGCCTCACCCCACGGTGTGGGGTCGGCGGATTTTTGTTGGCTGTGTTTTTTGTAGCGCTGAGGCATTGGGAGAGAAGGGCTCCGCACTGACAGGCTGCGCGATTCCGGCGCCAAAATATACACCCAAAATGTTGCCACTGAACGGGCGCTAAAACGTCCACCAAGGAACTTGCGCGGTATTTGGTCAGGTGCTGTGCTCTGTTGTGAGCCTGCTGTGATGGTTTTTTCACTCTCAGGCCAGGTGCTGTGACGGGGCGAGTGGCGCACGCAACTGAACCTGCACGACTCACAAAGCAACTCAGGCAGGCTGACTGCGCAGGTCGTTGGTTTGATGGCCTCGGCGCGCGCTAAGTTCAAGTGCATTAATTGGCGGAACACAATGAACCGCGCGTGCCTGGCAGTAACAGTCCGCGCATCATGTTGGCAGCGCGCGAGAGCGTCTTTTGCGCGCAGTACAAGACATGGACCGGTGCGTGCTCAGTATCGCGCCTTTAATGCCGGCGAGGCGCGAAATATTTTCCACTCAGCGCGAAGCATGTTTTATGCATATCCAGGCCACATACCTAGCAGGACGTTTTTGCAGCTGCGACAGCTTTTGCGTTTGTATACAGGCTTCGCGGCATTTCTACGCAGCCCAAAACATGTTGCGCGTGCAGCCAGGCCACAGGCAGTTGCGTGGGCTTGCGCTGTTGCAGTTGCTGTGTGCATTCAGTTTCTGTTGCGATTCACTCTTTTCTGCGCAGTAACACTCAGCTGGCACGCATTGAGCACTCAAGCCCCCAAACCAAACCAAATGAAAAGGGTGCTGGGGAGGAGCTGACGAGGAGCTGGGGAGCAAGAACGGTACGTCAGGCGCTTGGGGGCAAGAAAAAGGAGCATAGTAGAACTGCAAGAATGTTGTTCCCGGCGTGCAAGGGTGTCGCCAGGCACACGCAAACACATGCCCCCCCAAATATGCGGATGCCGTGGCCCTCCAGTTCCACACCCCGTTGGAATGTTTG